AATAATTATTTTATATAGGGTTGGATTCACATACACTTATTATATTTGTTATATAAGGAAGCAATGGGTCCGTATGATTTTCGTCTGACATACGACGGATGCTTGTCGATTAGGCCGTCTGTCCGTCGCTTCCGACTTACGTCGGTACGGACTCTGAACAATGTGCTGACGTCACACCCTTGATTTGTTTATTACTACTACGCGTTCATAAAATGCGACATTAAATACATACTAATATAGATCTGTTTTATTTAGTTTTATATCGTAGTAGGTAGGTTTCGGAATCTCAAAGGGACACTTTAGATATTAAAAGACAATTAAGGCATAAAAAACAAAGGGTGATAATTAAAAAGTTTGGAAGATAATTTAATCAAAGAAGCAGGCCTAAACTAGCTAAGAGTGGCAAAAGATAGACACAAATGGATGATGTCAGAGGGGGCTTATGTCGAACGAAAAATCGTTACCATTGCTCACCCAAAAAGTCTTATTTTATTTAATTGTATAATAATCGTGTTGTGTTGTTAGGCAAAACGTGTTCTGGCTAGCTATATAAAAAATTACTGACACAAACACAATATTTGAAAGTAAATATGCACCTATAGCTTTTTTTAAAAACAGTAACTGTATATGATGTATTTAATGATGTTTAAATGGTTGATAAAGAAATTTACTAGACGAATCTGATTGCCAAATTCAAAGCCTACTTATCTACCACATAATACTTACGTAATAATAGCAATAATAATAATTATTATTAATACAACTGTCTTGAAACCAAAAGTTAATATTGATAGTTTAATAACTAAAAGGCAAAGTAATACATAAATAAACCATACATACAAGTAGATAGTCCCGGTCTAGTGGTCGCGGATGCTGCGCGGGCGCGTCGCCGGAAACGGAAGCACGGGTGCGCTACCGCTCACCTGGAAATGACCGAATCACTAGGTTGGTCACAGCGTTACAACATGCGCATTATATCCATCGAGTGTGGAATATGAACTCAATGATATGAGGACGATATTTAATCATCAGAACGCTTATGGTGTGATTACCCGGTTGTACAATGTTCAGGCTAAACTTTCATATGGAGAAATTCCGTTTATTGCGCGAGAGTTGCATGTATTAATAGACTACAAAATTGATAGAGAAGGTAGATAACATGGTAGCACAATTTGTTAAAACAACAGCACGAAACGCTGTAGATGCTGGATCAAGTCCTGCGCATGAAATTTTAATCGCGTTTATTCTTAGGGGGCTAGCACATTTCCACATGTCTATTTCTACTGAACGATTTTATTTACAGTTAAGAAGTTGTTTCGTAATTTAAAGTTTTTGTCGACTAAACCTATTTATTGATTACCCAAGAATCGAATTGAGGACTCCGTATGAAACATTAACGATATATCACAAAACAATGTTTTAAACGTACGTTGTTTATCATTTTGATTTGATTACACTAATAATCAACTAAAACCTTTGTTTTAACTAAGCTTCGAAATGCTTAAATACTTTATTTGTACTTTATTTACCTATTGGTTCCTTAACTAATTCTGGTCTGCAATGATGGTCCTGATTCCTAATCCTGCAAAATAACTCACTGATATCAGGGTCTTCATTGATTGGAACTCTAAAATAAAATCATTTCTTTTAACTTAACTTTAAAGGCCTGAAACTCACGAAGCATGTCATATTTGCCTAATTTATCAATTTTGGTCTTCAATGGCCCTGATTTCGAATTATGGAGGATTCCTCCAAATTTATCGTCTCCTTTAAATTGGTACTTTGACATAAGTACTGCAATTTTGTAGATTGTCGACGTCCCCAAAACCGAAATCAGTTAACAGCTATTGACACGGGAAACCACTTAAAAAAATCGGAAGAGCAGTCGCGTCGTGAGTTTGGAAAGCGTTTGCGTGACATTAGCGGGTCCGGGCGTGACCCGACGCCGTGACCTGCGTGAAATCCGACAAATCGCCGTGCGCCCGCGCTGCTCTTGCACCGTGCGATACACTCACCTATCGCTTTTATACCTTACGACACTGTTTGTGCCGCAAACGATTTCATAAATAAACATACGAATTAAAAGAAAACTATAAAACACACAGGCAAATTGAATCCTTATTTGTTTTAAGACCCCAATGATAAAAAAAATTATAATAACAGAATAACAATTTAGCAAATTGATAGAATAGGATCTTACTTAGCTTATATCAGGTCTTGTTATGGCCTGAACTATGTTGTGAAATATGTTCAGTATTGTTTAAGCTCACTCATTACTAAAAACGGGTTGCAATATGGTTGGTTTGTTAGTGATTACACTTAGATTCAATCGATCGTTCGATCTCAACCGAGGCTAATTTTTCTAATCAATTTTAAACTTATGTGCATCATGTTGGACTTCGTAAGGAAATCTAGATATGGGTGGTAGGAATATAGAAATTCCGGGTTCACAGATGAAAAAGCCGTCAAACTTAATCGCGTTGCGGTTCCAGTCTGTGGATTTCCGAATTCAAAGGTCAAGATAGATCGACAGTGCATCTTAATTACATGTAATATAGTTGGGTATTTCTCCTACCATCAAGTGAACCAAATGCTTGTCTGAAGAAAAACTATATCTATAGATATCTTATGTCGGAATCGTGGATTATAAATGTCAGAAGATGATGTGTGGCCGGCAAGCTCGCACGCTCCTAATCGCTCTGGGAATTAGACAAAACGTCGCCACACTTTTGCAATTACAATATTGTGACTGTAATGTTCATTTGAAGTCGTTTAGTGGGATTGAGGATTGGACGCGTATTAACAGTCTGTTGCTTTCACAATTGCATTTTCGATTAGGTCAAAAAGACAAAAAAGTAATTTAGTAAAACACTTTATTGTACAGGTATTTAAATGAAATTGTTATGTTTTAAAAAGGAACATATTTGAATTAAAAATCGAACACGAACCAAGTTCCACAGCATGAAACACTTTGGAGGCAGGATCATGTCCTACCGTATCGAAATTATTTTCAAAGTAACATCGATTTTTATTTTTAATTTATATAATGCCATCATGTGCACAAAAAAAGGTGCAATTAAGTAGAATTAAATGTTTAATTTACTTACATTAATAGTTTACAACATTAACTATTGTTCCTAGTTTGAGCGGTACACATTAAATAAAACACTTTTAACGGTATAGAACTTGAAATATATAAGTTAATTTCAAAGTTAGACTTGCAATAAGACTTAGTTAAAAGTAAAATAACGAATAAAGTTATCCTTTTACGTTATTAATAGTCTGTTATTAGCTGTTAAGTTGAAAATAGGTGCTATATGTTAAATAATCATTTAAGAAATTCTATTAACAATATATTAAATTTAAAACACTTAATATATTTTTCCCTTTTTGCGTTTGTCTTTATTCGAACTCAAACAAGTGTAACCACAGGTAAAGCCTTTATCTTTTGTAAACTGAGCAAAAAACAAAAGAACAAAAGAACTAACTTATTTAAACGGAAATCTGTTGAAATAGACAGAAAATAGTCTCTTTTCCCCTTGTGTAGGCATTAACATCAGAGTAGAATGCTTTTTTACTATAATATGTATAAAGGCCGTTATGTAAAAACTAAGACTAGCCACTGAATCAACTTCGAAACAAATTTTGCACCGGCGCCTGGTAATTGGTTATTCTGTATCAAATTAAAAGGAATTCTGAATTAAACGTGCTTCAAAAATATTCTAAAACCGGGGCCTTTTTGACAATTTCGGTTAATATAAAATAGCGAAAGGCCCGCTTTTTATGGCCTTTTCATCTAATCCATGAATACTTGTGCTTAATTAAAAATAATATAATTGTATGAAACGCGAATTTAATAGCGGGATCTTCTAAAACTTGGCTAGGCTAGCGTTCTTAAGAGTCGCTTATTGAGCACTGTCATATCTTTCCGTCTAATGAATGACTGCACTATGGCCCAATGGTAACCAGCCTTTGCGCTAGTCTCTGGTTTAAATCCATAGGTAACAATAATAATATCAGGTATACAGATCGAAAATAATAATATGTTTATTTTATGATACAAGGACAGACAAGCTCATGATGGAAGGTGAACAAACCCAGCGATATAACGTTCTGACAAGGTGCGCTGTCGGCCTATTTTGCTTTGTATTCGAAAATCTACACAACCGACCGAAACGCGATTAAACTTCGCGGCTTTCTCATGACCGTTCGTGACCGGTATTTTCTATATTTCTACCATCCATGATACGTATCTAGATTTCCACACAAAATCCATGTTTCACAAAAATTATAAATTGATTAGGAAACGATTGTACGGGACGGAGATCAAATCTACGACCCAATGATTTAGCCATATATCGTTCCCATAAAAGTCGATCAGGTAAAACAGACACATAAATATATCTGCCACATGCTCAACGTCTCCTGCGTTGGTATTTAACTTCTTATCAAATAAACAGTCCGTGAATAATACATAAAAACATGTAGGATAATTATTTAGGGCCCTCGGCAGTCCCGTATATAGAGTACTTTATTTTGGAGTAACGTGGTCGAAATAAATGTTATACTTGTCTGGCTGTTTATGTCATGGAAGCGGGTTTGCGCAAGCATTCACAGATTTACATGGGGTTGTATGGTACTGTCGGGTACAAAAGGCGCTTTAGTTTTAGTGAAATAACTGAATATCTTTTTACGTGCCGAGTTTAAGAATATAATAATTTACTTGCCAGTTATACAAAATTGTGTATAAATAAGCTCTATCAAGCTTGTCTTAATTTAATTGTACTAATTTCAATTACAACCACTACTCCTATTTTAATAATTATAAACAAGGAAGTTATCTTAAAATTTTCCTGTATTTTTATGCATATCCGCTTATGTAGAATGCTATTTTCAAATAGACAATGTATTATATTCGCGCTCATATGTTTTATTTACTTTAATACCACATCGCAGATCAAAGTGATATTGCGCGCGCGACTGTACCAAGTAAACCAGCGATGAGAGGGGGAACCGAACACCTGGCCGACGCAGCTGCGCGCCGCGGATCTCACGCGCAGCTTCCTCACCGCGCATGCGTGAACACGCACACACACATCAAGCGCAAATATTACATAGCGAGGTACATCTCTTTACATACTGTCCTAAGTTAATATTTACACCTATATCTATAGGTTTACGTTGTACATAATTGAAAATAAGGTTCGTACATAACCTCATGATATTGGAAGGCAACTTTAAGTTTTGACGTTAGTTTACAAACTTCTATAGTAAATATATAATTAAAACAAAACGGTTTAAAATGCGAAATATATAGTAGTTACTTACTTTTCTAATTTATTTTAACTACGGCCCGACGTTTCAGGTCCTTTGCAGCAGCGTGGTCACAGGGCGACTGCCGGGTATAAGTTAACTAATGTATTTCGCGTTTTAAACTATAAAAGTGTTTTATTTAAATGTGTACTTCTCGCTTGCCTATAGACTAATACTTAGAATATAATTGTAAATGCGGGTAGAATATTTTATTTCCACGATAGAAAGATTCTATATAAAAAACGGGATATATGACTTCCTCCATGTTGATTTACCGATATCTATTGATAGACTATATCTTTCGCTTTATTACTTTAAATTTGAATTTAAACTCCAATATAATTTCTTTACTATAATGTATTTATCACAGTCACTTTTTCGTTATGAAGGATAAACTATATTTATTGACTTAAATAAAACACTTTAACGGTTTGAAATTCGCAACGAAATTGTAACTTATTTAAACAAAAATAAAGGATAAATAGATTAATTCTTAAATCGTCTTCGACAGTATTGGTATTTCTAGAAACACAGTCACTTTTGCGTTATGAAAGATAAACTATGTTTATTGGTTTAAATAAAACACTTTAAACGGTTTAAAACTCTGAATGCATTTGTTAAGTTATCTATAAAAATATTTATATTGTTTATTGCAATTTTAGTATAGATTACTTCTTAAAACGTAAGCTATATCGGTATTTCCAGAAACCGGTAAACGAGATCTCAAAAGGCGGTGACTTGTACAAAGAGTGAATGAATCTCATTCAATTCCGTTAATTCAATACAGCAACAGGTCACATTATCAAATTCGCCACAAAACGCATCTAACAGCGCCTGAATGGAATTCCTAAAAAACATTCCTTACAAGTTGTATTGTGGAACGAACAATATCAAGCGCCATGTAACAAAGCGACTTTACAAGTGTATTTCACGCGATAGCTCTTTATAATACAACCTTTTTATCGAGAGCTTCGACGTTCGGTAGGTTTACCCTTCTGTGGGGCATTTCTGTTCGCGGTGCACGGCCACGGGGGTCAACGTATGCTGGATAGGTTTTTAAAGCGTGATATTGTAATATCAATAGTCGCGAACAATTTTGTCTGTTGTGTCTTTTGTAAGACGATTAACGTAATTATGTGGTAAACATTCGTAACAATCGGGCACGATTGTGCGCAGCTACTGTTCGGAATGCTAAATTGCTTCACTTTTTTACATATTTATATTAATATTATGAAGAGTTAGTTTGTTTGTTTGCAATAATCCCTGGAACTACTGGTTTGAATAGGAATATTATTTTTGTCTTGGTTAGAGCATTTATCAAGGAAGGCTTAAGGCTATGTAACGTCAAGCTGCGACCAATAGCAGCGAAGATATAGATGGCAATGTGAAAAGAACGAGGAAATTATTTAAATTTGAGGGTTTCCAAAAAATATTTATCAAAGAAAGATTTCTCTTTCAATGACCTAAACATATTCGCTACAGTATATATCCATCTTTTTAGAAGTACAGGACGCTGATAACGTCATAACGACTATAATTTATAAAGCTTAAGAGGTTGTTTGTAAAATGATTATTCTACGCGGACGAAGTCGCGGCCACCGCTAGTTGTTTGTACGTAGAAAGTGTTCGTTCGGAAAATTGGTTAACAGCTTATAGCTGGTCTCTCAAGTCAAAGGTAGCATATGTGGCTTATAAGCTATGGGTCGTGGTATCAATGACTCCGACCAACATGTCTCTTTAAATCGACGTTTTTGACGAACTTTTCTTAAGCAAAAACGTTGTCTGGCAAAATTTGTGTATCAAATAGGTTGTATTAATATCTAAACTCCGTTCCGGTCGAACGAACCACCATGAAAAAGTCGTTTGATCAAAAACCTGCCTGAAAATAAAATAAGTGAAACAGAGTACCTAAAATATAATAATTTGAATTTTATAAGAACATTTTGTTTGGCTTCCTTGCTTGTAACGTAATCAGTAAATCAGTTTCTAGATAGACTCATATTTAATCTTTAATTATAAATTATATAGATGTTGCACGCCATCTGGGCATAGGCACACCCGCCCGCTCATAATAATTCAAATATTGTCTGTAGTGCGAATATTACCTACACATTTAATTAAAACATTTTTAACTGTTGAAAACGTCGCAACGCACGTCCACGTGACCACGGATGCTGCGAAGCATACATCAGGGCTTAGTTATTATAAAATGTAATGTAAATAAGTTAATTAATACATTTCGCGTTTTAAACCGTTAAAAGTGTAAAAAAAGTAAAAAAAATAAATAAATACATGCCCCCATTATTAATTGTCGACATTATTTACCCACGCCGCAAAAAGCAAATGTTTTCTACATAATGTATACGAGATCCCCTCCAAAACTTGACATGTACCGCACTCCCCCGCGAGTGTTCTGTTACCGGAGTTTTTTGCTTCAGCCGTGAGAGCTGAGGCCGAAAGGCGGGGTTAAGTTACGGCCTGAAAGACTACACCAGCTGCACGTGTTTGACGTTTGCTGCAAAATGGCGGTTGACACAAATTCGAAAATAGAACGTTGATATTGCAACCATCTTTGAGCGAAAGAGATCGTCACTTTTTTAATCGCTTTTCGGCCAGTTTGTAGCTTACCGAATATCTAAAACCAAAGAAGGTCGACACCGAGGCTGGATTATTTCACCTACCTTCCTCTATCTTAAAAGAACTGTGTCTTATTTCTCACGCTTTCTTCGACGCGCCCAAAAAACGAAATTCGAATCCCAGGAAATATTTTCCATGTCGACTATGATGTTCCACTAACCACAATGGTATTTAAGTTTATGTTTAACGAAGTCTAGGTTACTGGGTGCTAGTTTAAAGTAACATATATTATTTGAATTGGCAACCCCGGATCAGTATCTAAGGAGAAGTCTAATCTTTGAACAATGACAAAGAAGCGGAAACTCCCGCTCAAGTTTAACCCATTCGTTGCACAGATTATAAATAATAAGTGGTTGTTTTTTATACGATTTGGAGTATTCGGTTGTAACGGTAGGAAGTCCTCGATTATTTTGTTAGGATATCCGAGAGGATATAATTGTATTCAGGTAGAGTAAATTATGAGATTGTTAATATCGTTTTTTTTTTATTAAAAACGTTTGGCTTTAAATACAAATCCTAATAATAATAACGACAAAATGGCGCTTGACACGAATTCGAAAATAGAATCTTGATATTGCAACCCTACAACATCGCAACTATTTAAAGCTGTTGCCTTAAAATACAAAAAAAGACTAACTCAACATCTCTTAATATGAATTATTATAAATATGAAATATTCGTTTGTTGTAGTTAGTTGATCACTACGTCCACGATTTAAATCTCGGATAAGGCATAATGTTAGTTCAGTTCTTCGAGATTTTTCCAAGTAACAGAGTGTAGTGAAGTGTCATTGCTTCACTGCAGTTAGAGAGTACATTATGAGGTCGGTTCAGGTTATAATCAATAGTATATTAGTGGTAAGTATGACCATGTTATTATCACTAATAACGGCTAAGCTCATTCTGATAGAACAGCTCAGCTTTTGATTTATTATTTTATAATATAACATTGCACTTTTTCATTACTCCCTGTTTAGTAAGGTCGGGTAAAACAGAGTTGTGGGACTGTTCAATAATCTTTAAGATTATGATACTTACACTTTCATTTGTTATCTGCTTATGCGGTAATATGTTGACTGATAGTATATTATTTTTAGAAAACAATATTCCAAACGTACCGAGGAAAAGTTTACATCGTTCCTGCAAAGTGCTGAGTCATCGGCGCAGACGCAGTACCTCCTTTGAAGGCAGCCGACGTTCGACGTCCTCCGATCACCAATAAAACCAAGAGCATGCTCGTGGTACAATTATTGAGTTTAAGCGTTAGTGATTCTTATAATTATAGTTATTATGTTTAAGAAGAAATATTAAACATATATTTTGTATTTCTTTAAACCTTTACCCAAAAGTTCTATATGGGTAAATGTACTTACCTATAAATGTATATATAAACTAATTAGAAACAAACAAAAAATGTATACTCGATAATAAGTATGTTTTAATAATAGTACAAATTTAAATACTTTTTGGGTTAGTAACCACACTCTTTAATAAAACCTGAATTATTATTTTTTCGAATGTCCAAAGGCGAAAAAGGTCCACTGCACTTATCTAAAAGTTCACTTAATAGTAGGTGAACATAGGGTTAGCCTAGTCTGTCTTTATCTATCGTTAAAAAAGTTCTTTACAAATTCAATAAGATTTCAATTCTTTAATAGCCTGGTAGAAACCGCATATAAAATTGTTATATATTGCCAATATTATCGCGACGTACTTATAAGCAATTGCAAAGTGTCACTTAATGATTCAGCCGTCTACAAGTAAAAAAAGTAACAAACATTCACCAATAATCTTTTCTCGTTTATCTCATCTGTCGCTCGTGTATTGAAGTACTTCCCAAAACAACGAACAGGCCAACACTTGTGAGATGATGGTGTGAATTGAAGAAAACGATGAGTAAGCTGGTCCGATAAACAACTGCGTAGAGCCAGTAACTGGTTGCTATCTTGTCATATGGTCTGTTTGTCTTCTGTTCTCTACTCTAGTGAAATACACTGCAAAATGTCTCTTATAAGCGACAGCTAAAATAAAAAATCTCTGGGATCCCGTTTTATCAGTCCAGTAGGTGACTTGACGAAATTATTTCTAAGCTTAAGCTAAGTGTAGCCGTTGAACCAGAAGTAAGGGTGAGTTAATAGTTGTAAATAATTATTGGAATATGAAATAAAATAAATCTACATATGGCCTTTTATAAGATTTTAGTTAAAATATGTAACTGTATGCCCTATATATCCTATATATAGTATATATTAATCATTTAAATATTACCTACTGATTTTTTTCTGTGTAATTATGACTTTGTATTTTAATAATATAAATTTCGGAGAAAAATCCCTTAGAGATAAAAAAAAATGTTTTACTAGATAATAACAGGTTTTTACTATAATCTAGTCTCCATAAATATTAACTTAGTTTTAATATTTGATGTCCTTATCTATACTAATATAGAAACAGAAGGAGTTTGTTTGTTTGTTTGTTTGAACGCGCTGATCTTAGGAACTACGGGTTCGAATTCAAAAATTATTTTTGTTCTGGTTAGATAATTTATCGATCCTGTTACTAATACAAGCGAAGATACGGCGAGGAGTGTGTCAAAAAATTGGAAAATTACTATGGGTTCCGAGACGAAGGTAGGCTGCATAAACGCTTCAAGATACCTAAAAATATATAGGAAAGAATAATTCCTCTTTCAATGATCTAAAAGTCCGCGACGCTATTTGCCTATCTTATAAGATGAACTTGCAAGAACGCCGGGAAGGACGCGACCGACGTCGCGGGCAAAAACTAATTTGACTGCCCAAAATAACCATTCTACGCGGACGAAGTCGCTGACACAGCTACTGCAGTTCACTTGTGTAACTTTTAATTATTATTAGACATAAAAACTTTGAACTACTAAGGAATAGATGACAAGATGTTTTATCACCCGATAAATGAATAATGTTGACAAATCGTAAAGTCGATTAACAACTAGTAAATTTAATTTGCATTAAGGAACAAATTACAATTTGTCTATTTGTTCATATTTCACCAAGTAATGTCGCGACACTAAACGTTGACACACGGCTAATAAAATGGTAATGGCTATTTATAATATACTTTACGACGATTCTACTCACCGTTGACCTGTTTAAATAAATCGAAAATTAACTTCTGTTTTAATCTTAAGACAGTATATACATAAAATTCGACGGGCTCGGTGGTATAACGGTAGCAATGTATGGTTAATTATCAACGGGTCGTAGATTCGATCCCCAGGGGTACAATATGTTTCTAATCAATTGGTAATTTTTTTCTAACATGTTGGTCTGGTAATCTGGACATTAATAAAAAGCGACAATGTCTCGAGTATTCAAATAAAACACTTATTCAATTCAAACACGAAATATAATATTACTAAACTTATTTTTAATATAATTTCAGTACGACAGAATGTTTCGTATGCTTTGCAACAGCCGTAGTCTTGGAAGGACTTAAGATGGAGGGTATCTCTTAATGTTAAAGTCATATCACCTACGCCGTAGTTAAATTAAATGATATATTTCTCGTTTAAAACACTTAAACGTGTTTCGTTTATATTCTAAATGATAATCTCTCAGTTTATTTACATAGCCGTACATGTCTCGTCGAAGCAATAAAACAGCGGCTTATAAACAGTAAACACATAGATGATTGATCTTCAGGTAGGCCCTTGTTTCGTAATCTGCAAAAAGTGGACTTAATCCTTTCCGGCGCAGGGCAGCTCAATTTTCGGCAGACTTTGTGACGCCGCGATGAAATTGCTAATCGTTTCACATAGATGAGCCAGGTGTCTAGGGTTGCTACTTCATAATTATTATTAAAGCAAAATTACACAACAATAAACTTAATTTAAATAACTAATATATTTTAACATGGCAGAACTAACTAGTAAGTAGATCTTTACAGTGATATATGATTTCAAAATACTCCTACCCACTTTTTGGATTTATCACATCAAACAATTTATTTAAAGTAAATTATATGTAGCTGCATTATGATGGTAAGATCGTAGAGTAACGGTAATAGCACAAATGGAAAACAAAATTTAACTGTTCAAAACGCGAAATATTACTTTGGCCAACGGGTCAACTGCGTAAGGCTAAAGCCAAATGCTAGTTCGCTAATGGCACTGTCGTTAAAAATAAGCAACTGAAATAGCTTGTGTTTGAATCCGTTAAAAGTTGTTTTATTTAATGAATAAATGTAATTCTTCTATGTTACGCTTGTGCTATATTATTGGTGTAATGTCCTTTTTGCTTATTAAAATAAGAGGTAACCCTATACCATTCAAAATTATCAATTTATCTCCGCAGTCGCAAATTCAGACGAAGAGGATTACCGTGGTTCGTTATTACTGTTTTCTAGGAAGGTATTGCACCAGGTAGTCGATTGAAAACCTTTGTTACGCCAAATTGAAATACACAACTCTTGAAGAAAAATACACTTTACAATGGTTGCGATAAGATTATATTTTGTTTTAGCGCTGAGGGTATGTTTGCGATATTATTAATATGAGAGAAAATTAGCGTAATCGTTGAGCGATAACGAACGATGAATGGTGTAGGCTTTTTATGACCGCCTAGTTTATTATGTGCCCAAGTTTTTGGATAGAAAGTGTTTTATATTATAAAATGCTGGAAATGTTTTCATCAAAATCTAAAATTAAATATTGCCTCCTTTATAACTATTAATATTGCACCTAAAAATATAAATATGAAATCACTTAGCTTTTGAAACAAGCGTAACACAGTTTGTGTTCTGAAGTATCACTTCCCAATCCCTACAGTTAAAAAAATTAAATCATTTTTGACGATTTAAAACCGGACATATTTTAGTTCTGCTGTGACGTTAGGAATGTTTAATAGTTTGCGCAGTTACTAATTAATAAATTACTGTAAATCGTAATAAAACACTTTTAAATGTTACTTGAAGTGTTGTCTGTGCTTTAAGGTTTCACGACTCGCTCTGAGCTGGTTCCAGGACTTAGGTGGACCACTAAACCGTTAAAGTGTTTTATTTAAATGTGTACTACTCGCGTTAACTATAGACAGTATGTGTTAAGTAATTCAATTAAGAATAAATATTTTGAAATACAGTACGGTTATGTAAAAAAAAGTAGCTAGTGTTAGATACTAGATCTATTGTATCAAAGTTAAATTAAAAGTATCCACTTGACCGCGACTTTGTGACTTTCTCCTGGCGCTAAGACTAGGATCAGCCCGCGAGGATGCCCTAGAAACACGTTTGCAGGTACAACTCCAAAACTACCAACACGTTAAAACGCAACGTACAAAATAAACGTTAGTTTACGCCTCCGAAAGCACATGTCTATTAAAATTCCGTCAAGATATGTAATTACATTAGCTTAAAACCGGACGTCAATCACGAATCGAAGGGGGGTTATTACATTCGCTATTGCCTCAGCGCTCCGATGTTATAAATGAATTGCTATTAATTGGGAGAGTAAACGATATTGCGTACGTGATGAAAACGTAATTTGATATGCTCCTAAACAAATTGTTGTGTGGGTTTAAGTCTATACTAATATTATAAAGATGAAGAGTTTGTGTGTTTCAACGCGCTTATCTTAAGAACTACTCATTTCGAATTGAAAAATTATTTTTGTTGATGGCATCAATCGAGCTACTAGCTGTGTCAGCGACTTCCGCGTAGAATACGACGATCGATCGACGTCCCATCGTTCATGCAAGTTATCCTAAAAGATAGACATTGTGTCGCAGACATTTTTTAAATTAATTTAAAGAGGAATCATTCTTTCATACATCTTTTTTGGGTATCTTGAACCGTTTTCGCAGCGTACAAAGATGATTAATTTTCCCCGTTTTTTCACATTTCCAGTTGTTCCTTTGCTCTTATTACTCAAATCGTGATGTGTTATAGCCTATATATAGCCTTCATTAATTAATGCTCTAACCAACACAAAAAGAATTTTTCGATTCGTACCAATAGTTTCTTCTGATTAGCGTGTTTAAACAAACATACATACATACATACGTACATACATACATATAACATATCTTTGAGAGTTTCTGTCGCGTGCTTAGCGAAAACAGTTAAACGGTCAAATATTCCCTTTATGGATCCGAGTTGATCCACTGTATATTATTTAAAGAATCTTCATTATTATTACATAAAATTACAGA